AACCACAAAGCGAAATCAATTATCAATTTGCGAAATAAAATATTGCCATGGCTTTCTGAAGTCTCCGATTTGTTAATTATATATATATATATATATATATATATATATATATATATATATATATATATATCTTTTGTCTTTTTCATGTTATCCTTTTGCAGATATGCTCAATCTTAATTTTTAACACACACACACGTGTGTGTGTGTGTGTGTGTGTGTGTGTGTGTGTGTGTGTGTGTGTGTGTGTGTATGTGTCCAATATATGTTGACCCACGAAGTCAGAGATAGATGTTGGTGGCATAGCACGATTCTGAATATTCCCGCCAAAACGTCAATTTTTTTTGGCTTTGTCGTCAGATATGACAGCGCGTACGAAGCAGAGTTGCATTTCCTTCATACAAAAAAATAACACGCCTTTGCATTCATCAAAGCTTGCTGAATATAAACGAATACAATGGATGGAAACAGAAGTGGTGGTATGTCATGTGTTTTAGAAGAGGCGATAAGGGACATTTAGACCAATGTCGTCCTGTAGAGCCAATGATAATTGCTGTATAAACAAAATTAGTGGTTTGTGGGTGAAAAACTTGCTCTATCCAACAGTGTCACTGTTCTCTCTCTCTAATAAATACACAAATCAAATCAGTTATTTTGTTTAAACGTTATTTTTTATGGATACTCAGAGAGTGTCTGTGTGTGTGTGTCTGTGTGTGTAAAAGAAAAAGTTAAAAAAGAACAGTTAGATTTTCATCCATCAAAAAATGGCAACACCCCCGCTTAATAAAAAATTCTGAATTGCCATTACCTCACCAACTTAAAATATATAATACTATTTGGTTTATAAATAAATCAATCAATTTATAAGTAAATCAATTTTTTCTCGAAGTTTATTCTCAGCATCGCTTGAAAATGGAACGAAACTTTAAATTTTAATTTCAATTTAAGATTTAAGTTTTGGTTTCGAAACAGTAAATTCTGTGTCGCGATGGAAACATGTTTTTTTTAAATTATTATATATATATATATATATATATATATATATATATATATATATATATTGCTAATTTATCGTTATTAATATACATTTATCTTTCTCAGCCCTTAATAATCTTTGTCCTTTTTCTGGTGTTCTTTCACACTCAGTAACCCCTTTATTGCCTTGCTTCAGATGAAATGATTTAAAAATCTCCTCCTCTTTTTTTTCATTTTGTGAATAAATTGATCAAGCAGTTACTTTTTAATCCCTTTAATTTCTAATCTATTGAAGTATTTTCATTAAGCTTGCTTATACATTAGGGCTGTGGTCGGAAGTTTTCTCAGTATGCCATAAACGGGAGGGCTTTAAAAGTGGGGGAAAATCATTTAATGGTCAAAAAGTTCGAAAATAATAAACGGAATGGCTTTAATAAGTTCGAGGGTGTCGGCAAATTTAGTCCCTAAAATAAACGTCTCCTCCCCTTTTGATTGGGCACCTGAACAATAGTAATTATTCTTAAAAGCGCTCACCGGGCAAACACTATTTCTCCGTACCGCAACGACAGACTTTAATGTCCGGTCGATATAGATAAGAGAAAGCGAATTGCGCTTCTAAACGATAAAGTGGTTTTACGAGTATCAATGGGTACAATTTGAAAATCACTGCACTCATTTTTTTTGTTTTGTTTTTCAGTGTTGTTTTGACGACCGACAACTATAAGTGCTCATCCACCTGATACACTAATTTTACCTGTCCCACTTTGATCATCCTGTTATCGAATTCACTATCTCCTTCGTATCCACCTCTTATCTTCTCTATCTTGCCCTCTCCCCTTCTGTCTCCCTGTTTCTGTGTCTCTGTTTCTGTCTCTCTGTTTCTGAGACAGAGAGACATACATATTATATATATATATATATATATATATATATATATATATATATATATATGTGTGTGTGTGTGTGTGTGTCTCTCTCTCTCTCTCTCTCTCTCTCTCTGTCTCTCTCTCTCTCTCTCTATATATATATATATATATATATATATATAGAGAGAGAGAGAAAGAAGATAAATAGATAGATAGATAGATAGGCATGTAGCAGAGTGGTTAGAATGTTCGTTTCCTGACCATGAGACCCGGATTCGAATCTCACCATGGTCAGGAAGGAGACTTCCTGATGTTATCGGAGGGGTCGAACCCAGCGCTGCGGCACCTTTGGAAAGTGACGGCAAAACCATACCAATGGGAAGTCACAAGTCTTCCTGGCCGAAGGCTTGAATGTGCTGGCCTTGTTCAAACTGTTGATCACGCTTTTTTCCCAGAAATTGTAACTAAGGTCTGCTCAGCATAGTTGCAGGTGGACTCTGTGGGTGCAGAATAAACACGAATGCACCTGAGCAAGCGTCTGCAATAGTGATTGGCTAGCCGCCCTAGTAGACAGGTATCCTCAAATAAAGTGGAAAGATATATATATATATATATATATATATATATATATATATATGTATTCAAAATTTATAGCATAAACATATTATAACATCCCTACAAAAATGGCCATTTTGTTTCAACATTTCTGATGTCTTGTCAAGTGATGGTTTTAATTGCAAAATTAAGAAATCAAAACCAACCAAACCTCTCAATTTTATTGAACATTCTTTTAAGATACAGTTTATTTAATTAAAGGCTTTGTTTTTAATTAAACAGTATTAATTATATTTACCGGCCTAAACGTTCGAGAAATTTCGTATAAAATATGTGTTCTCCGTCAGGAATCGAACCTGTATTCCTACACGGAAAATATATTTTATAATATGTTGTCATTGTTAACATTAAGATACGTTTCGTGAGCAGAAATTATAAATCGAAAAAAATCTTTTCACTGAATCTCAATACATTGTTTCAAGACTTTTGTTTCATTGCATCTCACTATTAAACCTTTCTAACAATTTCCGTCATTTTTTTTACAGCACGGGTAGAAAAATATTTATTATTATCATAATACAATACACTATTACTTAATATTACGTAAAATACTTACAAAGACTATCTGTCTTATTAGCGTTATTCTCCAGAAATATACAGGTCAACCGTTGTTTTGTTTTTTCACAAGGCAACCTTTGTTACATCACCCTCAGGTTTCTTTTCATACTTAACTTCTGAGTCTTTATCTACTGATAACCTAGAAACACTTATTACCGTTCAATACCTTTTGTATCAACTTGTCGGGTCTAGTTTAAGTGCTATGAGTCCAGGCAAAATCGCTCTGGCTATGGCGATAAACTACATCTAAAGACCTCTGATCGGGAGATTGTGGGTTTTGAGGAGCGTGGAAGCACTTATTAACTTCTGTTGTTCCCAAGTTCACTCTGACACGGGGTGTTAGCATCAGTTAGGGTCCCAGCTATGGGCAAATAAGGACCCCCCAACCAAAATTAACAGTACATTTTTATAATAAAATGATCAACAATATATTTTTATACAAAATGACAATTAATGCAACACTAAAAAATATAAAAATACATTTTTATAAAATTACCAGCAAATAGGGGGAGTATTTTATATGTTAAATAATAAAAATTTTAATTTTTCCCCAAAATGAATGAAAATGTATTGTACTAAGCTACGGCCTCTAGTAAAGTGCAACTGTCCATTGTACGTCCATATCTGTATGCACTTCTCCCAAAATTGGGTTTCGATCGGTCAATGTACGGGTATTTTTAAAGCGACAGACGGACGGACTAACGGAAGTCACAGAATTTTATATATAGATTGATGATATTTCATCTGCCTGACGATTGCGTCTAGCATGAAACAGCCAGTCACCTCTGAGCGTTGACTTCAATGTTCACTTTCATATTTATATACGCTCTATATCTGTATTGTCCATAAATATAGCACACCTTAAAACTATATTTCTTTATATATATATATATATATATATATATATATATATAGAGAGAGAGAGAGAGAGATAGTTGTGTTGATGTGTGTTTGTGAAACCACGGTCACAAACTCACATCAACGCAACTAAATATATTAGCTCTATCGCTGATATTGAGTGCTTTCAATAAGTACCGCGCATATATAATATATAAATAATATAATATAAATAATATAATTATATAAATATATATATATATATATATATATATATATATATATATATATATATATATATATATGTTTATATTTATATACATACATTATTATATATATATATATTCAGTTGTATGTAGAAGAGTTTGTGATCCTGGGTTTCACAAAGTTTGTGATCATCAAATAGAGTTTGCGGGCATCAGGGGTTTGTCTGATGATCGCAAAAGCGTGAAACCCAGGATCACAAACTCATATCCATATTAACTGAATATGAATATATATATATATATATATATATATTCAAACACCGTATATTTGCTTTAATTTCGAGAAAATGAAGACAAAAATTGTGCAACATTTAGATATTTTTATGCTGTTCCTTGATCTAAGCTATCGACTCACATGAGCCGTCTTCAGAGTGGTTATATGGGCATTTAAGCAAAGATATTTACCATGAAAGCTGATATTCTCTTATGTTGACATAGAAGATTCTAGATACAAATGATAAGGAGGATTCTTTAGATCATTCTTTGGCACACTTCCGCAGAATGTTCTTACATCCATTCTACAGACCTTAATTGCATTCCAATTTCTTAGTTTATTCATTATTTCCGGATTCTTAAAAATTTTGCTCAAAATTTATTATTTATAGATTTACATACACTAAATTGCTGTTTCCATTTTGCCCAAAAGTTGTTCAAATATTTTCTGATTGATTTGTTTTTTACCGTTTATTAGATTGTGAGAATCTTTTGGCAATAATAATGATGTACAGATACAAGTCCTACTAATTAACCCATAGCTAGCGGGGAAATAGGTGGTTTCATACTTTTCACACGCAAGTGAATATAACGAACCTGATTGAAATTGGGACACGGTTCCCCGATTTATATTTCCAAACAATTATCCATTGCACCACCCGAACGTACAAGCTTACAGATCCTGATATTCCCAAGCAGTCACTCATCTAATTACTGACCAGGCTCGACGTTGCTTAACTTCGGTGATCGTACGAGAATCGATGTTTTAACGTGATATGGCCGTAAAAAAGAACCAATGTTAGTTCATTTTTTTTTTTTTAGAAATATGGCGACCTGATTACTGTTGAATGACTTCGTGACTCCCAAGGAGATGCTTTCCCGATTTCTACAATCTGAACCTATTTAACTCTAGCATTAACAAATCTTCCCCATATCTTCTTAAATTGTGCCTATTACGTCTTATTTTTAACCCTCTACATTGAGTGGATCTTGAGCCTTGTACAGGGTGAACATTATTGTAAAGAAAATCTCGAGAAATCGATTAAATATCTCCGTACAATGAGTGAACTTTATAAAGAACGAAAACTTTATGGAAACGTTTTAATTATTTTATTTTAACCATTTCCCCTTAAAGCAAAAACGGGGAATGCCATTTACTGGGATTGAAATTGAGAGAAAAGACTGAGTATAGGGAAGATTGAGGAAAGGACAAAAGATAAAAGGCATTCAAAAGATGGCGATTGACGTTGCATTTAAAATACATCGGTGACATATATATATATATATATATATATATATATATATATATATATATATATATATATATATATATATATATATATACATATATATATATATATATATATATATATATTGTCATACACAGACAAACTGTTCGCTGTATCACAGCTCATCAGTGTGGCTAGACGTCCGTTTTGCCTTTAGCTAGGATCGAAACCCGACTGAATTGGAGTCAGTCGAAGATTCTACCACTAAACGGTATTCAAGAAGATTGACTTTTATATATATATATATATATATATATATATATATATATATATATATATATATATATATATATATATATATATATATATATATATATATATATAATAAATCCCTAAGGAGCCAGGCAACCCTACCTAGGTTTCAACTAAAAGAAAAGACTAAGTATAGGGACGATTGAGGAAAGAACAGAAAATAAAAGGTATTCAAGAAAATGGCGATTGACGTTGCATTTAAACTTTTGAAAATTATAGTAAGCAAGTACACGGAAGGGAGTTCCACAGGCGGGAAAAGCAAGAAAAGAAACTGTTGGTGTACAAGTGGTGGTTACATTTAACTATTTCAACAGTAAACGGGTGGGTCCTAAATGCCAATCAAGTAGCACGATTAAATTCATGTAGTCGGGGCACTAGGGGAAAAAGCTCGTCAGAGCAGTTGATACAAAAATAATATTTGTTTCTTTCAATGTTATTTGAATTAACACGCAACATATTTTTACTGTAGTCAATTGTGGGTTTGGGGGGGAGCTCTGTTCTTAATCTACAACTTTTGTTCATCTTTTTATATTATTGATTGTTTTTAAGAATTGTTCCTGAATAACAAGATTAAAAGAAAAGAAAAAAAAAAGAACGAATTTATTTGACAACATAAAGACAATTCTTAAAGACCGACGATTAAGATCGAATTTGTTGATATAAAAATACTCAGGGGTATGTCTCTGATAAAAATCTGCTGAGTCACTACCGACTACCAATATTTCATTTTCTATTAACACACAGAAGCAATGTAGGAGTAATGTTTAACAGACCAGTATTGTGAATAGAAAGGTGGATGGATAAAAAAAAATCGTGACTGACTGTTGCTATTCTTGGTCATTGACTAATTTTTATAATATGACACATTTTACAATGATTCTCTTTCTATACAAGGACCAAGAGTTAGATAGTCGCAGACTAAAAAGTACAGTTTATTGGGATATTACGGTTAACCCTAGACTTAAACAGGTTAAGAGTGTAGTTATCAATGAAGCATCCACTTGGGAGTCAGTTTCACTATGCAGCGGTTTGTGGAAAGAAGCTAATCAAGTTTAACTTGACTCTTACCAATAGAATACAAAGGAAACGAGGGTAGTTTGCTACAAATGGGCGTAGCATGGCGGGTCTTAGCCGTGGAGGTTAGAACTAGTGGAAGCATCCACTTGGGAGTCAGATTCAATGTTCACTTTCATATTTATATACGCTCTATATCTGTATTGTCCATAAATATAGCACACCTTAAAACTATATTTTTATATATATATATATATATATATATATATATATATAGAGAGAGAGAGAGATAGTTGTGTTGATGTGTGTTTGTGAAACCACGGTCACAAACTCACATCAACGCAACTAAATATATTAGCTCTATCGCTGATATTGAGTGCTTTCCAATAAGTACTATGCGTATATATAATATATAAATAATATAATTATAAAATTGCATATATATATATATATATATATATATATATATATATATATATATATATATATATATATATATGTTTATATATATGTTTATATTTATATACACACATTTATATATATATATATTCAGTTGTATGTAGAAGAGTTTGTGATCCTGGGTTTCACAAAGTTTGTGATCATCAAATAGAGTTGCATGGGCATCAGGGTTTGTCTGATGATCGCAAAAGCGTGAAACCCAGGATCACAAACTCATATCCATACAACTGAATATGAATATATATATATATATATATATATTCAAACACCGTATATTTGCTTTAATTTCGAGAAAATGAAGACAAAAATTGTGCAACATTTAGATATTTTTATGCTGTTCCTTGATCTAAGCTATCGACTCACATGAGCCGTCTTCAGAGTGGTTATATGGGCATTTAAGCAAAGATATTTACCATGAAAGCTGATATTCTCTTATGTTGACATAGAAGATTCTAGATACAAATGATAAGGAGGATTCTTTAGATCATTCTTTGGCACACTTCCGCAGAATGTTCTTACATCCATTCTACAGACCTTAATTGCATTCCATTTCTTAGTTTATTCATTATTTCGGATTCTTAAAAATTTTGCTCAAAATTTATTATTTATAGATTTACATACACTAAATTGCTGTTTCCATTTTGCCCAAAAAAAGTTGTTCAAATATTTTCTGATTGATTTGTTTTTTACCGTTTATTAGATTGTGAGAATCTTTTTGGCAATAATAATGATGTACAGATACAAGTCCTACTAATTAACCCATAGCTAGCGGGGAAATAGGTGGTTTCATACTTTTCACACGCAAGTGAATATAACGAACCTGATTGAAATTGGGACACGGTTCCCCGATTTATATTTCAAACAATTATCCATTGCACCACCCGAACGTACAAGCTTACAGATCCTGATATTCCCAAGCAGTCACTCATCTAATTACTGACCAGGCTCGACGTTGCTTAACTTCGGTGATCGTACGAGAATCGATGTTTTAACGTGATATGGCCGTAAAAAAGAACCAATGTTAGTTCATTTTTTTTTTTTTTAGAAATATGGCGACCTGATTACTGTTGAATGACTTCGTGACTCCCAAGGAGATGCTTTCCCGATTTCTACAATCTGAACCTATTTAACTCTAGCATTAACAAATCTTCCCCACATATCTTCTTAAATTGTGCCTATTACGTCTTATTTTTTAACCCTCTACATTGAGTGGATCTTGAGCCTTGTACAGGGTGAACATTATTGTAAAGAAAATCTCGAGAAATCGATTAAATATCTCCGTACAATGAGTGAACTTTATAAAGAACGAAAACTTTATGGAAACGTTTTAATTATTTTATTTTAACCATTTCCCGCCCAAGCAAAACGGGAATGCCATTTACTGGGATTGAAATTGAGAGAAAAGACTGAGTATAGGGAAGATTGAGGAAAGGACAAAAGATAAAAGGCATTCAAAAGATGGCGATTGACGTTGCATTTAAAATACATCGGTGACATATATATATATATATATATATATATATATATATATATATATATATATATATATATACATATATATATATATATATATATATATATATATTGTCATACACAGACAAACTGTTCCGCTGTATCACAGCTCATCAGTGTAATAGACGTCCGTTTTGCCTTTAGCTAGGATCGAAACCCGACTGAATTGGAGTCAGTCGAAGATTCTACCACTAAACGGTATTCAAGAAGATTGACTTTTATATATATATATATATATATATATATATATATATATATATATATATATATATATATATATATATATATATATATATAAATCCCTAAGGAGCCAGGCAACCCTACCTAGGTTTCAACTAAAAAAGAAAAGACTAAGTATAGGGACGATTGAGGAAAGAACAGAAAATAAAAGGTATTCAAGAAAATGGCGATTGACGTTGCATTTAAACTTTTGAAAATTATAGTAAGCAAGTACACGGAAGGGAGTTCCACAGGCGGGAAAAAGCAAGAAAAGAAACTGTTGGTGTACAAGTGGTGGTTACATTTAACTATTTCAACAGTAAACGGGTGGGTCCTAAATGCCAATCAAGTAGCACGATTAAATTCGTAGTCGGGGCACTAGGGAAAAAAGCTCGTCAGAGCAGTTGATAAAAATAATATTTGTTTCTTTCAATGTTATTTGAATTAACACGCAACATATTTTTTACTGTAGTCAATTGTGGGTTTGGGGGAGCTCTGTTCTTAATCTACAACTTTGTTCATCTTTTTTATATTATTGATTGTTTTTAAGAATTGTTCCTGAATAACAAGATTAAAAGAAAAAAAAAAAAGAACGAATTTATTTGACAACATAAAGACAATTCTTAAAGACCGACGATTAAGATCGAATTTGTTGATATAAAATACTCAGGGTTATGTCTCTGATAAAAAATCTGCTGAGTCACTACCGACTACCAATATTTCATTTTCTATTAACACACAGAAGCAATGTAGAGTAATGTTTAACAGACCAGTATTGTGAATAGAAAGGTGGATGGATAAAAAAAAATCGTGACTGACTGTTGCTATTCTTGGTCATTGACTAATTTTATAATATGACACATTTTACAATGATTCTCTTTTCTATACAAGGACCAAGAGTTAGATAGTCGCAGACTAAAAAAGTACAGTTTATTGGGATATTACGGTTAACCCTAGACTTAAACAGGTTAAGAGTGTAGTTATCAATGAAGCATCCACTTGGGAGTCAGTTTCACTATGCAGCGGTTTGTGGAAAGAAG